GAAGAGGCTGGTGTGCAGCAGTCCTGCCAAACTCTTACGATGTTTCTACCCCTTCTTCCTCAGTGTTCCCTGGACCTTGGAAGTAAGGGACCATGCCTCCCTTTAAAAAATAATGTCTTAAGCAGTCAACACGCAACATGGCTAATTTTTTTCTTGAAAAATTTCCCCTAGACTTTTGGGCATTAGTTCCCCTTGAATTTCACAAATTGAGATCAGAACACAGGTCTCTCTGATAGGGTACAGCTAGCTGCCTCAATTTTCTCCACCTTCTCTGCCTGTTTTTTTTTCTTGCCTGATGTCCATAACCATAAGTCATGTCACATTTAACTATAAAGAGTTAATACAATCTGGTTATCCTTTGCTTTAGATCTAGTATCCACTTATGAGTAAGTACATACTATGTTTGTCTTTCTGAGTCTGGGTTACCTCACTCAGGATGGTATTTTCTAGTTCCATCCATTTGCCTGCAAACCTCATGTTGTCATTGTTTTTCTCTGCTGAGTAGTACTCCATTGTGTATATGTACCACATTTTATTTAACCATTCTTCAGTTGAAGGGCATCTAGGTTGTTTGCAGCTTCTGGCAAATTGGGGGTGGGGAGGTAATGGAGGGCAAGGGCCGGGGGAAAGAGAGCTTAGGGGAGCGGGAGGTCTCAGCTGGATCCAGAACAGAGTGGGAGAACAGGGAAAGAGATATCATGATAAATGAAGACCCCAGGGGAAAAGGAAGAAGCAGAGTGCTAGAGAGGCCCCCAGAAATCCACAAAGATACTTCCACTATAGACTAGTGGCAATGGTCGAGAGAGTACCTGAGCTGATCTACTCTGGTGATCAGATGGCTGAACACCCTAACTCTCATGATAGAACTCTCATCCAGTAATTAATGGAAGCAGATGCAGAGATTTACAGCCAAGCCCCAGGTAGAGCTACAGGAGTCCAATCAGCACGAGAGAGGAGGGATTATATGAGAAAGAGATATGGAGACCATGACTGGAAAAAGCACAGGGACAAATAGCCAAACTAGCAGAAACACATGGCCTGTGAACCAATAGCTGAGGAGCCCCCATAGAACTGGACC